ATTTTTGGCACTGAGTGTTTCATTTTGGACTTCAGCATCAGCAGCCTTCCTGGCTGGCCCAACACACCATTTTATCTTGGACAAACAACACCCAATTTTCCCAATTTTCTGTTTAGTTTTTCAAATTGGGCTCATGTCCAGCAGGGACATTGTGCAAAAGCAGATTCCTTGGGAAAAGTACAAGAACAGAACGTGCAGTGAAGATGTTTTTCCCTGAAAAATTTCCTAGATGCCAAGAATTTGCAGCTCAGGGATTTCTTCAGCCCAAGGTGGTGTTAATGGTTTTAGTGACAGTGTTTGCTCTCTTCCATAAATGTATATGGTTTCCCCTTAAACCACAAGCAAACTTCTTTGCTTTGATGACATGGTATAGCCATCAGTCCCACAGCTCCTGATGACAGTATCTTGGTTGTGTGAAGAATTGCATCCAGTCTTTTACCTCTTCCTCTCCCTCTCCCTTTTTTTCCTTTTCCTTTTCCTTTTCCTTTTCCTTTTCCTTTTCCTTTTCCTTTTCCTTTTCCTTTTCCTTTTCCTTTTCCTTTTCCTTTTCCTTTTCCTTTTCCTTTTCCTTTTCCTTTTCCTTTTCCTTTTCCTTTTCCTTTTCCTTTTCCTTTTCCTTTTCCTTTTCCTTTTCCTTTTCCTTTTCCTTTCTTCCTTTTCCCATTTTTTCATTTTACTTTCTTCCTTTTTCATTTTTTCTTTTCCTTTCCCTCGTCTCTTTCCTCTTCCTTTTTTTCTTTTCCTTTTTTCTTTCCTTTTTCCTTTTCTTATTTCCCTTCCCTTCCCTTCCCTTCCCTTCCCTTCCCTTCCCTTCCCTTCCCTTCCCTTCCCTTCCCTTCCCTTCCCTTCCCTTCCCTTCCCTTCCCTTCCCTTCCCTTCCCTTCCCTTCCCTTCCCTTCCCTTCCCTGTCCCTTCCCCTTCCCCTTCCCTTCCCCTTCCCCTTCCCTCCCTCCCTCCCTGTCCCCTTCCCCTCTCCTCCCCATTTCCCTTCCTCTTCCCCTTCCCCTTCCCCTTCCCCTTCCCCTTCCCCTTCCCCTTCCCCTTCCCCTTCCCCTTCCCCTTCCCCTTCCCCTTCCCCTTTCCCTCCCTCCCTCCCTCTTTCCCTTCCCTTCCCTGTCCCCCTCCCCTCCCCATTTCCCTTCCTCTTCCCCTTCCCCTTCCCCCCTTCCCTCTCACCCTCACACTCCCCCTCCTTCTCTACTTTCCCATTTTATTTTATTTCATTTTATTTTATTTTATTTTATTTTATTTTACTTTACTTTACTTTACTTTACTTTACTTTACTTTACTTTATTTTTTTAATGCCAACAGCTAATTTATGTTGATATCCAGCAAATTGTCCACCAGCAAATTCTTGCCACCCTTTCTCAGCCACAGGAAGACATGCTATCCCCATCAGTTGACTCTTTCCCAAGCAGGAGAATCCCAGCCTACTCAGTAGCTTCTTCTACAGATGTCGTTATCTGTCTTTGATCAGCCTTGCTGTAATTCTCCCAGTTTTTCCTCATTCTATCACATTACTATTTGAGGAGGAAGTAGAAGATGGCATGTGCCTGGAACTGGCCTTAAAGCACCATGAAATCAGACAGCCTACAGGCAAACTTTACAGTTTCTTGCCATTCTTGCTTGCATGAGCTAAGGAAAAGCATCAACCATCCAGATGCATGCAGATAAATCAGCTGAGTGGTAGTAAAAGTATACAGCATTGCTTAGTCAAGAAGTATAGAAGGAGGTAAGGCCCTAGAATATTACCATGCAGTGAGCTGCATGGTCATCATGGTGAACAGAACACCAAGAATTACTTCTAGAATACACACTGTCCTGTTCTCCCCACTGACAGCAGAGACTGAGGTGAATCAGAGCATGTACAGGGAAAAATGTAGACAATCAAAGATAATGATTAAGATTAATGCCATTACTAAAGGAGGGCTGGGATCCTTCAGCTGGAAGACCTCTTGATCATGGCAGGGTTTGATGGACACTAATTTACAGCTTAGATGAAGATTAGTGTGGGTTTTGTAAAGCCCACACACAAAAAAAGTGTGAATAATGGCTTTGCCAATACATGTGATCAATGTCTGAAGATGAGAAGTTCCTATGAAATCAAACTCCAGCACTAAAAGATATTGAGGGAGAATTTTTCTTTGGTTCTGATTTATCCTGTGAAATTCGATTTGTCCGAACTCTTATAATTCGTACCCCTATCTTGTGCATCCATTCAAGTCAACTGGCAGCTGAATATCAATTAAAAGCCCCTCGAAACTTTCTGGAGTAAAAAGCTATGTGAATTGTGGGTATTAAGTAAGTATTAACGCAGAAACATGCTCAGAGTGTTTAAAGAAACAGTGAATTGAGCAAAGAGCAGTTGGCTGAGTTGAATAAATCTGTTTTAGAAGAAATATGGCCATCATGCCTTGAATCTGCTTCAGTAAACTTAGTTCTCACTTTATTCTCCTTCAAGCCCAGCTCTCCTCAATGACAAACCCAAACCTGTGGTTTTACGGCCACAGCTCCAACGTAACATAACTATAATGCTGCTCCCTCCACTTGCCTTATGTTCCCTGTCTTCTCCCCTGGTGGATATATACCACTTGAAATTATGATCTTCACATCAACCAGAAGGCAAATTATCTTCTGCCTACCCTAATTCTCCCACTATAAGCAGATACTTTCTAAGATGTGAAAATGTGGCCATGGTCGTGGCCTCCAAACTCCATGGGAAGACTTGTTCCTCATATTAGAGACACTTCTCAGGGGGGACTCGAGGTACGTTTGTCTCCTCTCCATCATCACTGCTTGCCTATCTCTCATCTGAATCCTCTCTGGTTCTTTTCGTTCTTTCTCAGCAGCTTCCTGTAGGGTTGTGTAGTCCTGTGAGGATCTCTGACTCTTTTGTTCCTGGACAAGGCCTTGTAGCTCTGGGGAGCTGACCAAAGGCCTTGGACAGGGCAGACCTGGATTCCAAAAGCTGGGATTCTTCTGCTTGAAAGCATCCAAGTTCGGAGAGAAACTCCCAGCTCAGGAGGACTGCAGACTATCAGAGGCTGCCCTGAAGCCCTCTTTGCCTCAGACATCGAAAGCTGATCATGACCTGGCATTCTCCTTTTATTTCCAAAGTCAGATTTTGATTCAGATATCTACTTTCTTCCTGACCGTAGTCTGCTGGTGTGTGTCTGGGGATATCTCTTCACAATGACTGAAGATTTTGCCTGAAAAATGCCAAATTCCATTCTCCAATGTGCTCTCAGCAAATACTAATGTCCTACTAATACTAATAAATACTTAGGCTTCCTTCATGCCTAAGTATTTAATAGCAAGAAGTGAGTCAATGAATGAAAGGACTATCAAAAATACCTACTCTCTACCCCAGCAATTGCTACACAATTTAATACAATTTGGCAAAAAATAGCACCAGAAAATGCAGTTTGGTGAAAAGTGGCACCAGACAATGTTCTCTTATAGACATCCCTAAATCAGTGAGTCTCTGTGTTGCATTTAGAGAGGGGCAGACAATACCAAATATTTGGGCTACAAGATTAAGATTGCAGCACAGCAGGTTCAAAGGCAAATCTCTTGTGTCCTAGGAATACAGAGGAGGTGTTGGGAGCTTTGTATGAGGTGAAGGCAGTTGGGTTGTTTGTATCGTTTTCACAGTCCCTGAAACATGGGTTGCACCTTGCTAATGTAGGTCTCAGTGGTGTCTGTTGGGTTCTGGAAATTTCTTGGTGCACTCTTCCGTGAGTGTGTAATTGCACTTGGGAGTTACCATCCCTGGAGGTGTTCAAGAACCATGGAGGTGTGGAGCTGAGGCACACAGTCAGTGGGCACGGTGGATATGGATTGGAGTTGGGCTTTTTCAACCTTAATGATTCTATGATTCTATGACTGGGAGGATGAGATGGGCATTAAACAATCCTTCGTGAAGAGGGTGGTGTAGCCCTAAGCAAGTGCACAGAGGACTTTCAAAATCTCCATCTTCATGAGTTTTCTGGACAAAATTATAGCCATCCTTATCCAAATTTGATAACAACCTGGTTTGGGACAGGAGCTTGGTCTAGAGACCTATAAAGTATCCTTTGCACCAGCATTTCTCTGGGAAGTCCACGCAATGCATGATTGGTTAGACATGTTTATGGTAGTATGGTCCATGAATGATGGAATCCACGTCTGTGGACACTGGTGCTCTTGGCAGCGAGACCAAATGTGTGCAGGGTGAAGACTGAGTGCCTGGACACAGTTGTTTCCTCTCTGTCTTTTCCTTCTACATCAGTTTGCCAAGTCAGCTGTAAGGCTTGGAAACAGGATGGTCCTTCTGCATCCACTGCTGTTACGCACGGCGCTGCCACACATCCTCAAACCCACTATGGAGACAACCAACACCCTGCCATGCTCTGTGGGCACTGGGCGTATGGAGCCCATTAAAAGCTGTAGATGCCCCATCCCAGGAGATGTTCAAGGCCAAGTTGGATGCAGCAGCCTTAACTGGTGGGTTGGAGGGGGTTGGAGCGGGGGGTTGGAGCTTGGTGATTCTTAAGGCCCCTCCAACTCAACTGTGCTGTGATCCCAAGGTTCTGTCATTTGTAAGATCCCTTCCAATCCAACCCCACCCTCATTCCACAGTTCTACGATCAGTAAGGCCCCTTCCAACCCAACCATTCTATGATTCTGTGATTTTTCTTGGGGTCGGCAGCCACAAGTGGGACCCAGCTGTCTGAGGTCTCCCTGCCCCACGGATCCCACAGGGATCGACGGGTCCCCGTGGAGTGCTGGGGGTGCCCGGCGCCGTCCTGCACTCTGTGCCCGGGGGGTGTGGGACGGGACGGGACGGGACGGGATGCATGAGGGGGCCGCCCCGCCTCCCGCTTAAAGAGCCGCGGCGCCAGGCGGCCGCGCATCGAGCTGCTCCCGGCACCATGCGAGCTGCCGTCTGCCGCCTCTTCCTCCTCCTCCTCCTCCTCCTCCTCTTCCTCCTCCTGCTGCTGCCACCGCCACCCGCCGCCGCCTATTTCGGGTCAGCGCTGCGGGGATCGCGGGGAGGGAGCGCTGAGGGGATGCGCGGAAGATGCGCGGGGAGCGCACCTGCGGGGCCGGCACTGCTGGGTTCCTGCGGAGAGGTGGGGGAGAGGGGCTCGGTGACCCCCCAGGAGGGAATGGGGGAGAATCAACTGGAGAGAATCTGGGTGGAAGATGCTTTTAGCTGGGTGCAAGTGGGACGAGAACAGACTTTCTTAAATTCTGCTCTGTTTCTGCGCCGGTCTTAAAATTAGCTCTGGATCCTTACTGGATATAATGCCTGTTCAAATTGCTGTCCTGCGGGGAATAAGGTGGGAGAAGGGAGAACCGTGGGGCCAGTGTGAGGGACGTGCAGACACTGCGGGGCTCCAGGGTGGTATGGGCTGGTGAAGAAGGATGCCCCTGAGCACAGAAAGAAACTGCAGCCCAGAGAATTGCAGGGGTTCACTGAAGTGCCAAACCTCTCCATGCTTTGCTAACTTATGCATGTGAAGGCTCTTGGTCCCGAGGCACATCTACCTAAATCCACACGCATCTGCAGATGTGGCACTGCTTGCCTACGACCATAGTTGCTATTTCATTTCTATTTCAAAGCCTACTTAAGAACACCTGATTTAAAATTTATTAATTGTGTATTTTGGCTTATCTCGTATCTGAAAGTCTGCTGGGAGCAGAAGACTGTGTCTCTTGGTTGCTCCACAAAGGAGTTGCGTTGGGTCTGGCTTTCCAGTTACAGGGGCACATGCACAGGATCGCAGCCTTTGGAAGTGAACATACTGGTGTTTCTCTTTCAGATAAATAAGAGCAGCTCCTATTGCTCCTGTTGGATATGTTTCATAGACCAACCTGAGTGATTCTTCACCCTATGACAATGGTCTGTTTGGTGTGAGCTGCTGTTTGGTCATCAGAAAGCTGGGTGTGCTGCCATTTGACAATGCATATCTCAGGATCCGAGGCTGGAGTTTCATTTTTTAATAGTTTTGGGTTTTTTTTTTGAGTGTTTTGGAACAAGTGTCTGGCACATTTTCACCTTTTCATTTTATTTTAAATTAAAAAAAAAAATAATAGAAAAAAGAAAGTTAAATCCATGAACTTACTTGTGTTAATGATGGTTAATTATGAGATATGTGGGTATTTTCAAATACAAAGTCAGTAGTTAAGGGGGGAACTTGAACATCTTGGAAGACCTGGTGTGAGTATCTGTGTGACAGCTTGGGAAAGGAATATCTCATGTCCAAACTAGTACTGAATTGGAGGGACTCTTAGACCCTGGTTCAGGGTTAACTTTGCAGAGTATTAGAGACATAATGACATGAGCCAAATCCTTGTCTTCCAAACATTAATTGAGGAAAACCTTGTGAAGATGTAATGTGAAGTGAAGGAAGCCTTTGGGCGCCTGTCCATGGAGAACAGGACCTGAGTCCTTTTGTGAGTTGGTAGCAGTGAAGAAAATAGGAAATTTTGCTCTATCAGGACAAAAGTAAGGCAACAGTAGAGTAATCCATCAAAAGGCTCCAGGGAAAGATGCAGATCACCTGTTGGGCAGCAGCTGTCCTAGAACTAAGGGCAGAATTCAGAAGAGATCCAGCTCGGGTGGGATGTTGCTGGGTCAGCAGAGCAACAAAAGTGATGGAAGTCTTTTCTGGGCTGCAGCATGTTTCAGATCCACTGGAATCTTCATAACTCGACCTGAAAGACCTGCGGCCGGTACGGAGGTGCCAGGCTGCCCAGAATCTCCCATTATGTGTTGTCTTATTTTGCAGCTCCTCTTAACTCAGCTCTCAGTGTCTGACACTGTAGAGAGGCTGGGGGACTTGCAGATGCAATTTCAGAGGGCTGCTCTGAAAGTAACGCCTCCTATTTTATGATGTTGGCCCACGACATCAGAGATGGGTGCTGGTGGCACAGCAGTAAAGGTTGAGCTTTCCACTGGTATTTCATTACATTTTGTTGCCATGTGAGGAACGGCAGAAGAGGAGAAGTCTGAACAAATGGTACCCGACAGGGAAATGTGTATGAAGCAAAGGTGTGGAATTGAATTCCTCCATGAGGAAAAAATGGCAGCACTGACATTCATTAAAAAAATACTGCTTTGCAGCTGGGAATTTGCTTTACCAAATGATCTTCTTTGTATCTGTTACATGGAAGTAAGTAGGAAGCATTACTTTTGGAGCAACCTCAATAGATGTTAGGGCTTTTCATGGCGGCTTTCTGAACTTGATTTCTTGGCTTCTCTTGAGGCACTATCTCAGAGTACTGTATTTTCTATGAAGTCCTCTTGCTCAGAGCTGGGTCCTAAGTGCGGTGTGGCCATCCCAGAGTCAGACTGAAAATCAGAATTCCTGTGTAGTGATGGATGTGGCTGCTGGTTTGGGTTGGACTGTCCCAGAATCAAGATCTACATGGAGCTTGTGTTGCTTCTGAAAAGTTGCAAGCTCTGTTCCACTGAGCTGCCAGGAAGAGAGGAGAGCTGAGGACCCTCAGTATGCCTTAGTGGCCTTGATTTGATCTGTCATCTTTCAATATTCTCTTTGCCTTGCCTGAATGCTTGTTGCAGCAATCTATGGGGTGTGTGTATTTCTGTGCAACATGAAAGGCTGGTGAAATCAGATATGGAGTACAGTTGTGGCTCCCTTTGATTTCTCTCCTTTCTTGGGAGAGAGAGGAAAGGCATATTTTTAAGGTTTTTAAGACCTTTCAGATCCAGGGGACATTAGGCATTGCACAGGAACAGGCTCTCATTAAAAGTCTCTTAAGCAGCTGGAATGTGGCTGGAAGGAGATTAAAGGAAAACGATGAATTTAGCAAAGTGCTTAGACAGAAAAGTAGAGAGAAATAAAAGTTTGAGATCCTTACTGTTTTTTCCAGATTGCTAACAGGTGTGCATTAATTCAAAGATTTTATTTTTTTGGTGTATGATCTATAGATAATAAACTCTAAATCACCAAAAAGTGACGTGCAGTTTGCCCAACTGCAGTGTCAACTGTGTGACCTTGGGAAACTCCAGTTTCTCTGCCCTCTTCCCTAAACTGAAAGTTATGTGAGATTAGTTTTGAAAGTTGCATCTGTGCACCAATCCGATGGAATGAAGCTCTGTCTCACTAGTGAGAACAGTAGAGACCTTGATTCCATTCAAGCACAGGTCAGCAAAAACTAAAGCATTTGTGTGTTATCAATTTCATCACAAATCACCACATCACCATATGAGCTACTGCGTCCAAGCCAAATCCAGTACAGTGGTGCCATGGTGCAGCTGGTGAGCACCATTCAGATTGCTTTGAAAATGAAATCAACGCCTTGAAAGGCCATTTTGTTGGTGCCTCTCATTATTCTCTTTGAGTTTTCCACAAATATTAACATTTAACATCCTTCAGGATCTGGAGAATGGCAGTATCAACTTCTTCCAAACCTCACTGGCAGGTCATAGGGTATCTTTGAGATAATCTTTGTCTGTGACTGTGGGAACAGCTGTCCTCTGTCAAGCCAAAGGTTCATATAGCCTCACAATCTTTTTCAACTTTTATAATTCACCAAATGTCAAGGTATTCACATCAAGACACTTCTTTATGGTCTCTACAAACTTGCCTGTTTCAGTTCTCTTCTGTTTGGCGTAGGCGTCTATTGTAAAACTTTGAAAATCAATTTAAGCAATAGGTTCAGCATTGCAACTGTCCTTTTTATACCATATCTAGGTGGACTGGATTGAAAACAGAGAGATGTAGACAATGAGCCCAGGAAGAGATGCTTACAGAGTACGTGGAGAACTAAAATAGAAGCTGTGGTACTTGATTTACGTCCTCTGTAGTGGAAGTTATGTTATCCACAAGAGTTTGGTCTTGCTTTAACAGTTGAGACCATAGTGTTAGAAATGTCTGTCTGTTGTGGAGCTCTGAAGGCCTTCAGTTGGGTCCTTTCCATGGGTTAAAAGTCTTTGCTTGTGAACTGGCAGATAACGTCCTCTGGTGATCAGGAGTGGCACTCCAGATTAATGTGCAAATGTGTGACTCTTCCCAGTTTGTCTGCAGCCTTAAAATCTTGCACTGACATAAAACAATGTTTTCAAACGTCCTAGAGATGCTAAAGGAAATGAAATTTCCAATAAAAATACCGTCTTGCTATGGAAAGTGAAATATTTTTTCTCAAAATCAGTGACATATTTCAGCTAAATCGTATGTAATACATGGAGCATGGTCTAGAATGTCTATTCCAATCCAGGCCAACCTATGATTCTATGACCTACAGTTCTATTGTTCAGTGGTTCTAGGATTGAATTATTTGATGTTCTATGGTTCTATGGTTCTCTGTTTCTTTGATTCCATGATTTTATGGTCCTATGATCCAATGGTTTGGTGATTCTATGATTCTACGGTTCTGTGATTCAACAATTTGGTTGTTCCATGATCATATGATTCTGTGGTTGAAAAGTTCTATGATTCTACCATTCTTCAATGCTATGATTCTGTAAGCACACCGAGTGCTTGTGGGAGTTAGTGCTTTCAAGTGTTTTGAAGCACAACTATTTGTTTTAGCTCTTTAGATATTTTCAGATGTAAATCTCTGCTTTTCTCTGATACGGGGTGGAACCCCACTTTACTGTTTAACAAATCTACTTATCAGCCAAGTGTAATACATTTCAGTTGGCCACTCTTTCCTCTCTGCCAAAAGCTCTGGAAAGGTGTTTCTTTTCCATGACTCACAGTTTTCCTGCTTTCTTTCAGCCTGACTGGAAAAGAAGCCCTGACCCACTTCCCCTCCCTAGGAACCTCTACAAACTCTGCCCAGGGGAAGGCTCACATGAAGCAGTGTGACTTGCTCAAACTGTCCCGTAAGCAGAAGAGGTTGTGTCGGAGGGAGCCCGGCTTGGCGGAGACGTTGCGCGATGCCATCCGCCTTGGGATCATGGAGTGCCAGTTCCAGTTTCGCAGTGAGCGCTGGAACTGCAGCCTGGAGGGACGGACCAGTCTGCTGAAGCGAGGTACAAGGTAGTCTTTGTTTGAAGTATCAATCTCCCTTGGTGCTGGATCACCTGGAATGTACATCTCGCTGTCAGTGAGGGACACAGGGAGGTCATCAGAGAGTGCAGAGATCGTAGAATCGTGGAATCATAGAACTGTTAAGGTTGTTTTTAGGACCTCTAAGGTCCAACCATCATCCCACCCCACTGTGCCCACTCTTAGAACCATTAGCATTTGAAAAGACCTCTAAGATCATCCAGCCCAACCATGCACCTGCCACCAACATTGCCCACTAAGATCATCTGCTTTGCTTAGGAATGGGAGCTAGGAATAAGAGTGCTGTTTGGCCTCCTATCCTCCAGTGTCTTATCCTCATCTTTCCTGGGTGGTTTGTCATGGTTTGAAAAATAGAAGTTCACACCGTTGGCTTATGGATTTTTGGCCAAGACTTCCCTATGCTGGCCATCTTTCTTGGCCAGCAATCAAGGATGATGCTTAGAAGATCAGTGACGTTTTAAGACAAGTCTTTATTTCAGCTCTTTGTATCTTTTCACATGCAAAGCTCAGCTGATCTCTGATGCAGCATTTAATCCTAATTAACCATTTAAATAAGCAATTTAGCTTTAATGCATTTCATTGCATATTTACAAATATCTCCTAAGACATATTCTCATATATTTGGAGTTTCCATAAATGTTCAGCTGTAGTGGACAGAAGGGTCATTGGCTTCTGTTTGACAAAGGCTTTAGAGGAAGAAAACATCCTCTAAGTGATGAGCTTGAGGTAAGTGAGCATAACAGCAGCTAAAAAGCCAGCATTAACTTGAGTTAAATTAAAATTTTAATTGGCATTGCAATTGAACCATTATAACATTATCAAATGTTACTAAATTAAATATTAAATTAAAACTGTACTAAGCTTCAGCACAAACAAGACCAGATTTACCTTCTTGCAAGGCTACACAATGAATTTTTAGCCCATGAGTGTCCACAATCATTCTGAGCGACTTTCTGGCATGTCTGCCTTCATCAGCCTGAAAGAACTTGAAAATGACAATTGAATAATCCTCATCTTCAAATAGCTGGGAAACACTTAATTATCTGTTGATGGCATGCCCCAACATTTCCACGGACTCCAGATTGACAAAATAAAATATCACCTGTAATTTAAAACCTGTTTTGGCAGATGGGGATAAGCTTTTGAATACTTTTATTACACCATCTTAAGGATAAAATGATGATTTAATACAGCAAAGTATGCTACGTGTATCCCCTGTGTAAGAGGACAGTTGGATGAAAGCAGTTATTAGCTCTCATTTTTCCTTTAACTTGCAAACAGGTTGATTTCCTACATAAAGACAAACATTTTCAGCTGCCAGTTTTGATCTTTTTCTCACAAATTCAGAACTGTGTTGCCGTTTGGAAATCATCACTCAGACAATATCAGTTCTCCCTTCGTTTCTTATTTTCTGTCATTCCATATTTTTAGTAACAACAAAAAAAGTACATACACTGAGGACTTCCTGTTTTTATTTTTATTTTTTGCACTGTCAGCTTTATTTTCATTTTCTGCCTCCCTTGCTGGTTTACACTGACAGCCCCTTCCTTCAATCCATTTCTTTTGCTTCATGTTGGCCAGGGTAATCGATTTTCCACCACTGTTTTCAGTGGTGTTATAGGAAGCTGGAAATGGTGCAGCACAGAGAAGTTGTACGATTTCCATCCTCGGAGATTTTCAGAACTCAGAACCCTGAGCAACTTGACCTGACATTGGAGTTACTCTGCTTCAGGCAAGAGGTTGGGCTACAGAACTCGAGAAGACTTTCCTTTCTAAATCTTTCTACTGCTCAGCATCTCTCTGCTCTACAGTCTGTGTTTATAGGGCAGAGAGACATCACTTCCACTCGCTCTGAAATGAATCACAGAATCATTAAGGTTGGAAAAGACCTCTAAGATCACCCAGTCCAACCATCCACCCACCAACAGTTCTGCCCTCTAAACCATTTTTCTAAGTACTACATCTGCCCTTTCCTTGAGCACCTCCAGGGACGATGAGCCCCACACCTCCCAGGGCAGCCTGTTCCAAAGCATCACCACTCTTTCTAAGCAGACATTTCCTAATATCCAACCTCAACCAGCCCTGGTGAGGTCCTTACCTCTCATCCTATCACTAGTTATGCTTGTACTGTCTTTACTGTAACACTGAAAAATCTTTGACCTCGAGCATTTTTTCCTTTGACAGAATCACCACACAGCTCAATTCCTCCTATTATAGTTTTCATCGTGGTCTAAAGCACACCAAGCCACGTAACAGTGTCTTACCATCACAGCAAAGGTTGTCCTGGAGTTGCAGGCTGATGAGGTAGAGGAATAATTCAAGAGAAATGATGGTCCAGGGGGAATCACTGTACACTTTTCAGGCAAGAGTTGGACAATTTGGACACTGAACCTCTGCCATAAAAAGAGATAGGAGGGAGGAGAGGAAGGACATGATTTGGAAGTATGCTCGTTATCTTGCTGTCTGCAATGGTCTGACCACAAGCAATGGTCTCTGATTTCAAGTGGGTTGATATCTGGCCAGCAGTTACGTGGAATGCCACAGAAGGAACCAAACTATCACCAGTCAGAAATAGCAGAAGCCGTGTGGTGTTCCACAAAGTCAGATTTAGCAGTGTGTGGGGCTGAGTGGTACTGCTAGCTTTGTATGGTATGGGAAAGCGTTTCTGAAATGCACATAGCCAGATAGGATACAGGGAATCTGGTAAGGATTTCAGGATCTGCTGCTGAAATTTTTTGTCAAATTTAGGATCTCACATGTGTGGGCATCATGTTGGTGTTCATAATCTGCACTGACTGCGTCCCATATGTTTTTCCAAAACTTTAAATGGATGTGGAGACATTTTTTTATTATTCTTTTAGCATGATATAGAGCATCAGCCAGAAGGTCTAGCTGGTAGTCATTTCTCCTGAATAACTAAAATAGAGAGACAGGAAGAAGGTTACTGATTGACCTCACTGACTTCCTCAACATTTTCTTGCCTCTTTCATCCATATCCAGACTACTGCTAGATATTTCATGTAAGATTTTGGAATTCCAACAATTGCATATGAAGTTTGCCTTGAAGTTGCAGACACAACCTCTGTTCAGTTAGTAATTTTTTCCTCCTTCTTGTTGATGAGTTATTTGTCCGCTTCTGTTATCACTTTTATGGTGGCCTCACCTGGATCTCAGCAGTCAGTGGTCAGATCTGATATTAGAACTGGGTGAGAACTCTTTGAGAGAAAAGAATCTTGGAATCACAGTGACTGGAAGGGACCTTTGGAGATCAGGAAGTTCAGCTCCCCTGCTAGATGAATAGACTGGTGGAAGGATTTGAGGCTGGACTGGATGGATTCCATATGTCCCTTCCAACCACTGCTCAAAGCAGGACTAACTACAAGGCTGGACCAGATCTCTGTGGTTCTCTCTTTCATTTTTTTAGGGAAAAAGATTTACTTCTTCTTTTGCAGAAGGAAAATTGGAATTTTCCAGTGTGTAATGTATGTTTCCCTCCACGACATGTACAGATGTATTTTTCCTAAACCAAAATTTTGCCTGGTTTCAAAAGCAGGATGTCTTCAGAAAGCACCACCACAGTTACAGGGGGAGATACTTCGCAGAGAAGTCATAAAATCTACAGAATCTGTCCTTGCCCAGGATGTTTTTCCAACATGAAGCCTTTTCCAATCAAACCACGTGTGATCTTTTGATACAAAATATTATTACCATGTCCCAATTAAAAACATTTTGATATAAGTGGGTCAATTTCTTAAAATATTTATAAAGTCTTTTTCCAGTCTCTACTAAACGGTTCCCAATTTTAAATCACAACATGGTTTCAGTGACTGCCTCGATTCACACCTATCAGGTCTGTGGTGAGGTCGTGGTCAAACTGAGTTCCGTGACTTTTCGTAGTTGCTCATGTTCCCAGGACTGTCTGTCAGTGATGTGGACAAACACCTCACTTTGCCCTCCTTGCTCCTACCCTCTCCTAATCCTTCTCTTGTGCAGGTTTTAAGGAAACAGCCTTCCTATATGCAGTGTCTTCTGCAGCTCTCACCCACTCCTTGGCCAGAGCGTGCAGCGCGGGTCGCATGGAGCGCTGCACCTGTGATGATTCCCCAGACCTGGAGAACCGCAAAGCCTGGCAATGGGGTGTGTGTGGGGACAACCTCAAATACAGCACCAAGTTCCTGAAAAAGTTCTTGGGTCAGAAAAGGATTGGCAAAGATCTGCGGGCCAAGGTGGACATCCACAACACCAATGTGGGCATCAAGGTGAGATCTAGAAGAAAGTTAGGGCTCGGTGCAAGTCTTCCAACCCATCATCTGAGGTTGAATATTCACTGCTCCAATTGAGAACAGAGTCTGGTTTACCTGTGTGTTTTGGACCTTGTGCTACTGAGAGTCTCCTACACTCTGACATGAGTTGCATGTTTGGATTAGGAGAGCAGCAAGGGCTGGCACTCTTGAGATCACCTGTGATCCATCTGGTAATTTGAAACATCTGTATGATTTGCTATGGATATGGTTGTGTCACATTTTTGAGTTAGGGAGAAGACCATTAGATTGAGCATTTTGACCTTTATGTTACACTCTACTGACTTAACACTGTTTTCCATTTATTGAGACCAATTACTTGTTTGATTAGAGCACTGTCTTGATTTGATTACACTAAGAAGGGGAATTGATAATGCTGGACATGCAGTTTCATGGTTGACTACTGCTGCTATTGCACACATCTGCTTAGTGAGAATTTGACTAGCCTCAATATTCAGGCATTCAAGCTGTCACTCTTTGGTGAACTCTGTAGTCATTCCTTTGTGTTTTTTTTAGATTTCCCTGCATAAAATAGGAATAACACCAATAAATCCAAAGCAAAATCATAGAATCATTAAGGTTGGAAAGACCAATAAGTTCAACCATCCACCCATGTCTGTGACTGCTTTAGACCATGTCAAAGTACTTACAGCCTGTCTGCACCTGAGGCGATCTCTCTATCCAAAACAAGGCTCATGCTCCTGGCAGGTATTGATACCACTTCTCTTCCTCATCAGGCTGTCAAAAATGGACTGAAAACCACGTGCAAGTGCCACGGCGTCTCCGGTTCGTGTGCCGTCCGGACTTGCTGGAAGCAGCTTTCACCCTTCCATGAGGTTGGACGACTGCTGAAGCTGCGCTACGATGATGCTGTCAAGGTCTTCAGCACCACCAATGATGCTGTGGGACACTCAGAGCTGGCCAGCCCGCAGAGACACAGCCATTCCACCAAGCACCATGCTTCGCCCCGCGCCACCGACTTGGTGTATGTGGAGGATTCGCCCAGTTTCTGCCGTCCCAGCAAATACTCCCTGGGAACTGCTGGGAGAACGTGCTCTCGGGAGGGCAACTGTGACAGCATGTGTTGTGGACGAGGCTACAACACCCAGAGCCGCCTCGTTACCTTTTCTTGCCACTGTCAGGTGCAGTGGTGCTGCTATGTTGAGTGCCAACAGTGCATGCAGGAAGAAGTGGTCTACAGTTGCAAGCAGTAAATCAGTGCTGGAGGGTTAAGGCAAATCCTATAGTACAAGAAAGCAGTATAGAGAGTGGGATGTGATTCTCAAAGGTGGTGTAAGGGAGAAGACAAGCACCAAAAATGTCCTGTTATCTCAGTGCTGAGATCCCCCAGTCTGGGGACAGAGTATGAAATGCAGAGGTTTGCCAGGTAACACATCAGGAAGGAGAGAGTGGAAGTGATATGGGGACAGTAAGAACACTGAGGCAGTCAAACTCTCTTGAGCTTGTAACCACATGCAGGAATATTCCCCTCTGCCATCCCTCACTTGCACTTATGGAAATGCGTTGGGGTGGTGACATCAAAATACCAAGGGCTTTTACCCTGTTGCCAGGAGGAGAGAAGAGAAGGACTGGAGGGGCAACTAACCAGAGAATGCATGCTGATGCACCAAGAGTAATGATTCTGGCAGCAGAGGATCTTAATTACTGTTCTCCAGGAGCTGTTTGAATCTTTTCTGCTTTGAACCCTCTGTTGAGTAGGGTCGTTTTGAGGCAAGTGTTGTTCCTCAGAATGCCACTTTGCAAACAAATGGAGCTCATGTCCATCATCTCCCAGGTCTACGCTTCGGTCATTGGCCTCCAAGCACGTTGTAATCATGGTTGAAATTTGATGAACACAGAAAACCTGGAATTGCCTCTGTTAGCAGTGATCTTTTGCAACATGCAGCCTTGCAAGGGGTCGTGTTATGGTGGTGGATCCAGGGTGACGGTGCTAATTATGCATCTATTTTTTTATTTTATTTTTTTTCCCAGTCAGAAAGCCTATTTTGTCTTATGTGTACTGCTCTTTGCCCTTGCACCCAATGTGCAATCCTGCGCTGTGCAAATGATACACAAGATTTTCACAGTAACAGGGGTGTCTTAAGAATTTGCAAGTCATGAATGACAACAGAAAGTCAGATATATCTGGCCAGTGCAGGGATTTTCATGAGAGAAGGTGACCTAGGGGAAGAGCATGGACCAGAGAACCAGGGAACCACAGACTGGAGCTGGACACGATCATTTACCAGTGCTTTCAACAGTGACTTTGCAGTGATGAGTGTGTACTCACTTCACCTTGTTGCTCTCTGGCTGTTATGACTATTCTCACTTTCTGCTTTATAAAAGGATGGGAGAGGGCTGACTCAGAGCAGATCGAGCCTCTAACTGGCTCTGTAGAAGCCATTAACACCTTTCTATTGGCTATCTACAGGTCTCTTAATGGACCTATTCCTTTTTATCCCTTTTTTTCTGGCTTAAGTGGGCTTGAACTGAATTAAAGTGCTTATGACAGACATAATGCTGCAAATTGGGTTAATTGGCCTTTTTAAATATCCCAGAAATTAATATTGAGCAGACCATTATTTACATGTTACTCTTAATCCTGTTGGAGTTGAAAACTTCCCACGAGTCTCAATGTTCTCAATGAACAAGCATACCAGTGAGCTAAATTATTAGGAACGGGAATAATAGGTGAAGGAACAAAGGAACTGACTTTGATCTGCACTGATTCCAGCCTGCCCCACTTGTAAGCAGCTGAGAGAATGGCAGTACCATGTCACTGGATCCCACGTCACTGCAGGGAACATTCTCATTTAAACAGTGTCTGGGACTTGGTGGGTGGAGGCTGGAAGCATTCTTAGGGATATCATTCTTTGGGAAGCAAGGGGAGAACACACCATTCTGTCTTCTTGCCTTACTGAAGTTTCCCAGATGCCTGTTGGCCAACTGCACAATCCATTCTCCACACCCAGATCTCATAACTCGAAGGCAGATAAGATGCTCCTAAATGGAAAGTGTTCTTGATGAGCTCAGTCCTTTTTATTGGTCTTTGTAGGGCCCTTGGAGTCATTTCCACGTACCTAAGTAGTGTGGTCATTTCAAAGTGATTTTTTTTCCCTCTACTATAAGAGAAAACCATACAAGAACAGAAATACATGTAAGTCTTCTCCAATGATATGGTCCTGCTACACTGTAAGCATGGAAGGAAATACTATCACCTTTCATTTTCCTGACAAGAGCATTTCAAATTGGTAGGTTTCTTCTTCCCACCCCAAAGGCATGTCTGGCTTTCAGAAAGTGAAAAGTGTTATTGTGTTATTTTAGTAATATCTCTTTTCAGGCTCCAGCTGTTGTGATGATTTAGGCTGGAGATGAATGCATTTCAGGGACATGTTAGGTGTTTTGCACAGCTGACTGAAAAGGAGGACCAGAAAGATGGTAAGATGGTTATTTAGGCAGAGAGGAATACAGTCAGACCAGTAGAACTGCAGCATTGGTTATTTGTGTCTTTTGTGGCCGAAACACTGATGTTAGTGGAAAACAAAGGAGAGGTTTGTGGCAAGAGGGCTAGATGTACATTTTTAGGCAATATCAGTGTGGATATTTTGGACTGAGTTGGTCCTTTGGCAGGGTATATTTAGATATATTTAAGACAGGACTATCTACTGCATTACTGTACTGGGAAAGGATCTTGCTTTTTCTCGTATAGCCCCTGTCGTACAGACATACATCCTTTTGAAATGGTGTCCACGAGTCCCTTGTCATTGAAAATGCTTCATCCTTTGAAATGCGTAGGGATTGCCTCTAGTTATGGAGGATTTTAGCAGTGATCTGTTTTATCATTTGAGTTGTTGTGACCAGCAGCATCTATGCGATGCAGTGTTTTTGTCCAGTCTTGCTGTAATCCAGTCTTAGGCATAAGATGGAATGGCCCCTTCTCTTGAGTGTTGGGTTGACGCAGTCTCATAGGGATCTCACATGGAAGTTTGCATTTTTTGAGTCAAAGGATAACATAAATAAAGGAAAATGAAAGGTGAGGTTGTACCTGGAAGGCACCCACAACAAAGTGTTGAATAAGAACTGGTCAATAAGACACTTCAGTAGACAATTCAGTAGACATAAGACCAGCAGACTGCTGGTTTCTTATGTTGTTGTTTCTGGGTTGACGCTCAGAAACATGCTTCACACTAATGAGAACCTTTGTGTTACCGGAAGCAAAGCTTGGATTTGTTAGCTGTCCAGTATTCTGTGTTTGAAATGTAGTGAAGAACAAACCCAAACTACATCACCCTGAGCAAAGCTCTTCCGCCACCTCCTGGAGATTTGGGATATGAAGAGTTGGGTTTTCATTTGATGTGTGTGGGAGTTTTTAAATGATGCTGCATACCTTAGAATGTGCAACAGCTCCAGGAGCTCAGCTGCCCTTTGGTTTTATATGCAAAGAAGCTACTAGAGTGGTAGGATGGAAATACTAAGGGTTCACTGGAAATCTTTTTAGCAGAAAAACGTGGACAAAACATAGACACGTGGTGTAAGACTGGAAGGGCAATTTGCAATACTGTAATGTCCTACGGGAACAAAAAACAAACAAGAAAAGGCTGTACTTAAGGGAAATAAAATATTTGACTACCTCAAGATGTACAACTTATGTGATGAGAAGAATAGTTGTTATTTATATTTCTTTTGTATCTTCTTGACAAATATTGGTGCTATGCATTTAAAGTTGCATTACAGTCCTGCTTGTACCTTGTCCTAATTTTTATGTAATCTGTAAGTGATTTCCTTTTGACTTTAACGTGTATATCTATGTAGCTGGCTCTGTTGTCCAGTATTGCACTCATGTCTGCTCTGCTGGTGTTCCTGTCAGTAAATAAATACCAATTGATTTCTAACAGTGTACGTTTCTGTCTTTCAAGGAAAATAACTAGGAAATAGCTTCAAAGACCTCCATTCATCCTTTGGCACATTGATCATATTCCCTTAGTTCTCCTTTACCTACACCCTCTTTACCTACACCCTCTCCAGAAGATAACTGAAAGTGCCCATTTCTGCCCACCCAAAAGGCTGCTGGGCTGAGCTCAGGTATGTATATGTTGAAGACTTTAGTGAGCCAGATCCCTTCAGAATTATGCCTAGTGACTCTTCCTTCCCTTCAGCATAGGCTCAGCATGGGAGCTCTGGCTCCAGTCATGGCTGAGAGTGGGTTTACCAGAAGATCCCAAATAGCTCCCCCAGACCTTGATCTAGCATCAGGTTACTACAGCATGGTGGCATCTCATTGCAATGATCTCAACAGTGACCACAGAAGATCAGAGGAAGAGCCACGGCCGCAGGCTGGGTCTGATGCATGGCACATTCTGATCTAAAGGTGTGCCAGAAATACATTTCAGAGCAGCTGGATTCTCCTGGGTATTGGGGAAGATGAATAATTCAAAACACTCATGGATCCACTCCTAACCTTCTCCTGTGGCAGCTCCTGTTGTCTCCTACAATCTTCCATAGGCAAAGGTACACTGAAGTGATGAAGTTCTGTAAAGTTAGATTGGATATTAGGAAAAAAATATTTTCAGAAAGAAAGGTGATGCATCAGAACCAGCTGCCATAGGAAGTGGAGTCACCATCTCTAGAAGTTTTCAAGAAAGGGGTGGATGTGGCAATGAGGAACACGGTCTGAACCTATCACAGGCCTGGACTGATGGTTGGGTTAAATGATCTTAGTGATCTTTACAACCTTAGTCATTCTATGATTTGACGAAAAGCAATCCCTCTCTATAGGCAGGCTTCATGAGCTCAGGTGCATTTTTCTTGGGAACTGAATGAGTCAAGAAAGAGCAAACCTAGCACAATCCTTGTGTTAGGAATGTCCATCTGCCATAAACACCAGTGGGATTAAAATGTCATGGGAAAGAGTTCCTGGCAAAGGAAGCATGCAGGATGCCTGCTTATTTGTGCAACCATGCTGAAAATCCCACCTTACTGGATGAAGAAAAGCTGGACCATCATGGCCAGGGAGAACTTTTCTTCATAGACTGGTGCCTTCTATGTCAGATTGCCTCTCAGTGTAGAATTATGGATGGTCAATGTCCCATTGCTTTGGGGAATCAAGCAGTTCAATGCAAGCAATTTATAAAAAGAATCAGCTCTTGCTTCCTGTTAAGGGGACAAAATTTTGTGAAAACTTTCTGCAGGACTCATTTTTGAAATGTAAAAGTCA